TTTTTGACAAAATTTCATATTACCGGTATAACATTGTCTATATTTGACCATTACATTATAGGATTGCTATACGTTATCAGGCAATTGAGTTCTCATTGGCTCTGAACCTGCATGATACTTTTATATCAAATACTTAAACAAACAATCGTAAAATATTTCTGGTGATGTGGTAAATAAAAAAATCAAAGTATAATAAAAGTCAATTTCATAAAAATAAATTTAAACAACCAACAACAGAAATGTATATATTGTTTGTTGAAAATTGCTGGCCACATTGATAATCAGGCATAATGTATTTACTCTATTAGAAGGCACATGTAAACTCTGCGTTGAATTTATTGTATTCAGGATCATTAAAATATGAATCATAGCATAGACATGTACTGTTTTCATTCACATAAGTGATGTATGAGCTACCGATACTACCTACATTTCACTAGTAGGCGAATAAACTATAACTTGTCTTGTTTTTTTATCTGAACATTTACATTTGGAGTGAAATTCCACCTGGAAAGCACCCTGGTGAAAACAACTGCCGAAAACTCTCAAAAAATTGTGCTTTGAGCTAGTTATTAAGACTTTTCCAGAACAGTGTAACAAGATTGTCTCATAGTTGAGATTGTGCCGTTTTCATGATTTTTGCTGTTTTCACCGGCTCTTCGACCGGCATTCCACAGCATCTTATGTAGAGCCTATAGAAATGCATGGTACAGTGGTGTGTGTCTTAGCAACATAGAACGTTCTGTGACGTAGCTCTGTTCCCAAGAGTTGTTATTCAAAATCTTGTGTAAAACACCAGACATTTTATTGCCTCTTTGATATTAATCGTAAATAACACCTGTAATTGTTTTTGTTTACAGTATGATTCTAGCTCTGCTCTCAAGAGATTAAAAATACTACATTTAAGAAGACTGTTGCTGCTGCATTGTGAAAAACACAAAATGCTTTCACATTGGAAATGATTGGGTCAGAAGAAGGCTGATTTTCAAAGAGCAAAACTGAACAAAAGATAAAATAACTAACATCGAATCATGCTGGCAACGATAGACAGACCGTTGATTCACTGCACTGTTCATTAATACACCTTGTATTTCACCTAAACATTTGTCCCGAGCAATTTCACCTTAACCATTCGTCCCTAGCAGTCTTACCTTAACCATTCGTCCCTAGCAGTCTTACCTTAACCATTCGTCCCTAGCAGTCTTACCTTAACCATTCGTCCCTAGCAGTCTTACCTTAACCATTCGTCCCTAGCAGTCTCTGAATACCTTGTCGATTTGCAAAACCTTCATGTATTTCATATTGAAATCCTGCTGCAGTCTGCATTTGGGTTTCATCATATTCATCACACAGTGAGTAAATGTGTCCATGTACATCTTACTAGTTGAATTGATATCGTTTTTACAAGAACATGCTCATAACAACCATTTTTTATTAGTGTCAGCATCGATAATCAGAGTTGTATAAATATTAGATATAAATAAACACAGTGAAATGAAATATAATACCCGGTATGTTTCAAGCATATTGTTCCATTCACCAAGTCTATGGGAAAAAGAATTTTTTTTGTATAGTAAAATTAGTACATGTACCTTGCTTGTAAAATGAATTAAATTAGTTCTAGAGAAATTTATATCAACTAAAAGTCCAACTCAATCTTTGTAATTTTAGATAACTTAAGTGTTTTTTGACTTTTGAAATAAAATGTCTGAGATTGAATGTTTAATATTTTTTGTGAAGTGAATCTTGTTGAATGTACTGTCGAATCGTGGAAATTACCAATAGCTGCAAGTATGATTTGGATATTCTTCCTGTAAGTGTAATTTTTGTATGTGCCTAAAATCTGCCATTTTGTTAGGTAAATCCAAAAATTCAGGAATTTGAACAAATTGAAGATTATACGGTGTATGTCGTGTTCGCCGTACTTCCATTACGAGTTCATACCGTCAGAATACCAAAAATAAAGTAATATAATGTGCAATATGTTCAGTGATTGTCAAAATTTGAATTGGCTAACTTGCCTTGAACACAATTTTTAAACTGCTGAAGCATCAAATCATGAAAGATGGGAAAAAATCACCAGGAGTTGTTTGTATAGTACTGTTTTACCTGGCAATATCTGGTTGGATAGTTGTATAGGAGAGCTTATAATTATTTCTATTGTAATGAACTTTGGGTAATTACTGGATCCTTGTCTTGTACATTGACCGTATACACTAGAATGACCCCCGGACTATTACAAGCAATGCACATAAGTCCACCTATGAACCTTGGCATAGTGACCATTGGAGTCATTTTATAATTAATCATTGGCATTATGTCATCATAAATATAATTATTCAAATTTTACTGCACTTCAAATCCTGTCAGCAACATCCGCATCAATCCTACAAGTCATTGAGCCAGTCTCATCTGCATACAACCTCGTACTGATACTCGTATACATGTACAACACCTTTGTTGTAGTATTTGTTTCAACATTAGACGTATATGCCAAACTCAACTGTATTTATCTTCAGCATCATGTCTCATTTTTTTGTAGCCAAACTTGATTATTGTAATGCTTTATTATATGACTTTCTAAACACACAACTCAATATGTTGCAAAGAGCCCAGAATAATGCTGCTCATGTCGTTACTGTACCAAAATGTTGAAACGTACAACAGTTGAACTGGCTTCCAGTCACTTAAGATTCTAATACAAAATCCTACTTGTCATCTTAGTTGAGTTTTTGACTCCTGTGTGCAAAGCACACAATGGGAGTCTTTGCATTTAGCCTGTCTGCGTGTGTCTGTCTGTCTGTCTGTTCCACTGATATCTCAAGAACCGTATGTTGGTTTTTGATAAAACTTGGCATATATATTCTCGAGGACAATGTGCAGACCGGATTAGTTTTGGGTAGAAATCCCATGCATATTAATTACCGGTACCTAATTTGTCAATTTTCAACTTTTCTACTGATATCTAAAGTACTCAAGATGTCATAGGACAATGCACAGATCAGATAAGTTTTGAGTTAATTTCTATGCATATTAATTACATAATTTGGGGAACCGCTCAATCTCATGAATTGCACCAAAGAATCATGGGACACTATTGTTTATGTTGTTTACAATGTTAATCTATCTTTTGTTATCCATTGTTATTTTAATCCAGAAAGTAAATTTGTTGTGAGATTAGGCTTAACTGGAAGGTTAAGCTCAAATACTTTGATACTTGGGTGGACCTCTGTCAAATTTCTTCAATTTGTGATGATGTCTTCTCTATTTTCAGTGATTATTTTTTACATTTTTGTAAAAGAAAAAAGCTATTTCGACAACATCTTGAAAACTACAAGCTCAATTAATTTTGATACTTATTTTGGTGTGTAACAAGATAACAATTGTTATTGTCATGGCAACCACCATGCAAACTACCATGGTTGTGATAGGGCAAGAACATTGTGGGAACAATAACCATGGCGAATAGCTAATATCTCATTGTATCGAAAAAACATCAACATTCTATAGAAACAGTGGAGCTATTTCAACTGCGAAATGTCATGGAAAATGGTTAAAATTAGCATTTTTACATTAGTTTTTATTGTGAAATTATTTTGCTTGGTAACATTGGGTGAATGTTATATTGTGAATTTAGTCAGTGTCCAATATGAAAGCAGTTTTTCCATTATATGCAATGGAAAGTTCTTCCCCATAATGCATTGCATATATGTGCAGTAACATGTTCAGCCACGGAACTACAAATAGCAGTTCCATGGTTCAGCCTTGGAACATTTTTATTTCATCTCAAACTGCCTTAATTTTAAAGATTTTACCACCAAATGTTGCCATAACAACATTACGTTAGTATCAGTCACTTTCAAAGATTATTGTTCATTTATAAAATTAGTGGCACTATATTAATCGGACAAAAATAAAAACAAATTTCTTATGAGTTTTTACCACCCTTGCACGTGTTTATTTTCTCCCAATACAAAATAAAAAAATATAAAAAATATGTTAATAAAAGGTCATTTCTGTCATAAGGGCAGTGCTTTATTATATGTGAAGTAAAATGGTAACACTTTTTTGAAAAAAAAATTGAGAAAAAAAAATGTCTTTTTAATATAAATGTACCGGTAATCTATTTTGACCTCTTAACATTTTTAGATTTTTGTGCATTTCCCTTGCGCAACGAAGTAATGGAGTTGAAGGAAGTGAAAAAATAATAAATTTGTTTGAAATCAACGTCACCCTGGCTGTAATTAATTTAACAATGTGTCTAAACGGCAAATCAGTGTGAAACGAAAACCAATACAAGACGCATATATACAAAGGTCAAATAAGAATTGTGTTAAGTCATTCCGAGTTGTTTGAGTTGTATGCCTCTTTGGTTGCTCGGCAACTAGTAGTATTGTGTGGTTTGTCAGTCAAACTGTGAGTATGTGTCGGGGGGGGGGGGTCTGATGTAATGTTCTAATTTTAGCAGTGTCGCCCGAAGCCACTTCAAACCACGTGTTGTAAAATGCAAACATGCCCACAAATAAACGTGCGTACTATTTTTAAATTGTAGTCGATCGGTTGTCTTTATTTTCGGTACCACCCCCATAATAATGTCCACTTTGACACTTGCATATGAGATGGCTCGGCGCGACATTACTTGCGATTGAAGCAACTGTTACTTTTATGTTGATATTTGAAAATACTGATGATTTTTTTCGTGAATCGACGTCAATCTTACCAGGGAGCTGTAATGAGCTCCCCTGATCCACAGTCCCTCTAGGGAAGGAGACCAATTCACACCTAATACAATGACCGTTTCTAGACCGGGGATAGAGGGACTGTGCCTGATCTTACGCGACAGGTACACGAAATCGGCCATCATGCTGCTCAAATTAGAAATACAAACATCTGGGAAAGTATATTATTATTGAATGAAATGACACATGACTATTTTTCTTCGAAGGTATTCATTTCAATGAGAACATCGTACCATCACGTGGGTTGTAATTTTAATACTGTCGATATGCTGGTTGAGCCCAATGAATGGCTGTCTTACTTTAAAAAGCTTTTAAACAATAACAGCCTATCAACTGATTTAGAAACAAATTGCCCTAATAAAAACAATTTAAATGAAATTAGTCAAACTGATTGGACTGTTGAAAACAAAACAAACAGCAAAAATGATTTAAATGCCCAAATCACTATACCTGAAATCAAAAAAGCAATTAATCAACTTAAACTAAATAAAACATCAGGGGAGGATGAGCTCTGTAATGAAATGTTTAAATATGGAGAATTCTACATTCTTGAAGGGCTTCAAAAATTGTTTAGTCATATATATAATTCAGGCATTTTCCCAGCCAGTAGGAACACGAGCTTAGTCGTTCCTATTCACAAGTCAGGGTCCAAGACAATTCCTAATAACTATAGAGTGATTGCAGTTTCTAGCTGCTTAGGTAAA